GTTTGTCTCCAACTCCTCCATCGAAAAGGCTGACACTCTTTAGAGATTCTTCCACAGCCTTGAAATGATTTTATATCCATGAANCTTGAAAACACAACACAAACTAACAACAATTAATGCACATGTTACCTTTGGGTTCCCAATAAGTGATATTGCCACACTAAGCCGCCTTTTCATACCCCCGCTGTAATTTCCGGCAGGTTTGTCTCCAACTCCTCCATCGAAAAGGCTGACACTCTTTAGAGATTCTTCCACAGCCTTGAAATGATTTTATATCCATGAATTAAAAATGTCTTATTGAATTATAACACATAAGAATAAAATAAGACAGCAAGGTGTGGCAGATATATATATACTTGCGTTAGAGCAGGGCCTTTGATGTTCTTGAGTCGCCCATAAAAGAGAAGATGTTCTCTTCCTGTTAGTGTCTCCCACAGCAAGCTGAAATCAAGAGAAATGACATCAAAACAAAGATGTTCTTTAAAGTGTTTCTTGGTAATGAAATAACATGCAAATGTATTTGCTGAAGAGTATTTACTCGTGCTGTGGGCATACACCCATGCTAGTGTATACTTTGTTCATATCCTTGCATATGTCCAAACCTTGAACCAAGGCTGTTCCAGATGAAGGTTTAAGTAGCCCAGTCATCTATCACAACAACAAAAAGATAGTACAAGATTACAACCTTTGACACTCTATAACGTTTTGTTTGTGAAATTGTTTTGTTGAAACTGACCATACTGATGAAGGATGTTTTTCCAGCGCCATTAGGTCCAAGCATGCCGAAGCATTCTCCTGAAGGCACGTCGAGATATAACCCTCTTACTGCCATTTTTGGAGGGTTGCCATCTCTACCTGGATAGACTTTTTTCAAGTTGTCACACAAAATGGCATGCCCTGCGCAACCTTCATTTCTCAATTGTTGAACCTTTTCCCTCTGTTTATTATCTCATTTTATGTGAATATCAAAGAAACATGGAAAGGCTAAAAATATTTGACATGTTAAAACATACCTCATGAATGACATCTATTTTTCCCATATCTATGGAGATCTTTTTAGAATCCAGCCTCTGCACGGTAGGCTTACTTGGTATAGAAGAAGATTTATTGAAAGAGCTCAAGAAAAAGAAAGGGTGCTTTCCAGATGAGAAAACTTGATCAGTATAGAAAGCTATGATGAGAGCCAGAAACCACTCTATTGACATGATCCATAAAACTTCACCCATTCCACTATCACTTAAATCATGCCACTTCATCCCATTTCCTCTGGAGGCATATTGGGAGAACTCATACAACCCGCGGTATAGAGAAAAGCCAGGATACAATTCCAAGGCAACAATCCATTCCTCTGTTAAGCATAGAGATATTATATACCAAAAATAAGCAGTAAGTGATGAAAATGAGTATGTTTTTTCTTGCTAAAAGTTACCCGGAAATGACTGAGTTTCAAGCATCTTTTGGAAGAGAAAGCTGCCCAAGAGCCCAGTTCCATACACCAATATGTAAGCAACGACTACAGTTAAAACCATAAAAATAAAGAGACCGTTTAAAATTTTGAAAACTGGCATGTAACATGTTCTTGATGAGAAATGTGATATGTTGTTATTACCTGTAACAGTCTTAACCTTTGAGAATATTGAAGAAACTAGAAAGGAAAGAGCGATTTGCAGATTCAAGTAGATAAAATAGAAAACAAATTGGATGCTATAGGAATTGAGCCGAAAGTACTTGAGTCCTATCACTGATCCAAAGATCACCAAAGAAGCAACGTACAACACAGATATAGTTAGAAAATAGGCATATGAGATCAACCAATACGGACCATCTCCTAAGCCATGCATTTTCATTATAATTCTTAGACGTTCTTGTTTCTCATACACCAATGATGTCAAGATCACCTGCAAGATTTTTATAGCTAGTCATTTTACATACAATGGAATAATTTTAAAAAAAAAAACATTCAAATGATTTGTAAGAGAGAGAACTTACAGGGAACAAAAGAAGAACAACCCAAGTGAAGAAAAGTGGGCCAAGCAAGGACGCGATGTCAGTATTCAATCTAGTTGCGTGTTTAGGAACTTCTTTGACAAACTCAAATAATATCCTTAGGCTAGGGCCTTTCAGAAACTTTAGATAAGCATTTGATATCTGCAGAGGCATATGTTAATTAACAATGAGAGAAACATTATTGTAATTGGATGCATGTCTTGAGAGGTACCAGATTGATAGAACGGGGAACTCGGACCAACTTTACAGGCTCAAATGAAAACTCATCCTTGTAGGTTGAGTTATACCAGATGGTCACATTGAAGTTTCTTTTATCCGTACTCATGAGATCGTATGCTAATAATACAAAGAAAAAGTGAGGTGGGCTTTAAGCATACCCTATGATGATAATATAAAGAAATGTAATACGTGGAAGAAAAATTCAAGACCTGCAGCAATCTCATTTGTAATCCCAGTAGGGTTTCCCCTATAACTACCCTTGTAAAGCTCATTGTTGACCTCTGCAGTGTTATTTCTCCAGAGACACAACCCTTGAACACACTTCACCTCTGGGATATTTAAGACACAAACCATTTCAGATCAGTTTATCATCTTTCAAGTCAAACTTTTCCTTTGGACATCATAAGAGAGAGGTACAAAAAAAGACATACCTGTCTGAATTTTTTCGAAAGATAGTGGCCATGTAGAGTTTGCTTTGCACATAGGTTGGATACTGTAGATAGGGAGACCTGAGGTAAGCCCTGGATCTGCGTAATTGTTTTTATCTGCTGCTATCGTTGAACCCTGAAAAAAAATGAGATGGAATGAATGTAGACTCTTGCATTGAAATTCAGACATATATATCTACAGGTGATCATGGGCATAGAGTGATGAAACATTTGTCTATGGCCCCCCCCAAAATATTGATGGTTAATATCCCCTATATATTAAAAAAAAACATTATAACCATTGAACCATACATGTCATTACGAGAATCAATTTCAAAATCTTAAAAAAATTAAGTGCTAAGCATATAATATATTTTTCATTTCCTAATCATATAATTAATTAATATAAAATATCATTTATTATTTCCTTAAATAAACATACGGAATTATATAATCTGTTCAAAATATATATGATAATTAATGATTTTAAATAATAAATATTTGATCATAGTTTATACATCTCAATCATTTTTGTTTTATATTAACTTTATTAAAATAAATTAGACAATCAAATTAACCATATAATAAAAATTTTGATTTTTCTATATATGTTATATTTTAAATTTTTAAACATGAATATAAACTAATAATTCTTTTAAAATCTCACTTTGAAATTCGAGATCAATGGTTTAATTTTGATTTATAACAAGATACAAATGTTCATAAAATTACATGAGTAAGATGTTTTTTTTATAAATATTAGATTAAATATAGATATATATATATATCCTTTAAATTATATATTATATTATAAAATGCATAAATATTTAGTTTCAAAATTTTCATTGGATTTTTTCAAATGATTACAAATTAATAAAAAATATTAAAAGTTCCATAATTAAAACTTTGTTATCAATGTTTCAATATTTTTGTTATAAAAATACAAATAATCATAAAGCCATGTGAATAGGAAAAAATTATTTAATAAATAGACATACTAAAAATAATATACTATACATCGATATTCATAATATTTTTATTTAATTATAAGCAAAATAAAAGATAAAAAAAAATTATTTAGATTTATATACCATAAACTACTGTAAATAACAATGATTATTTTGATTTATATCTTCGCACCAATTTAGTTATATATATATGTAATAGTAACTGATTTTTCACTAATTTAATATAAATAGAAAACACAAATAAATAATAATACATAAAATTTTATGTACATACAACATTTATCTCGTGCAAGACGCAGAATTTAATCTAGTGTATATTTGATTAGGCCTTCAAATTTGTTTATTAATTGTTTCAAGCTCCGTATATCTCAGGGACGGCACTAGCCTCAAAAAGAAAGACATACCAAGACATTATTGGCTAAAGAAGGCAAGACGTCGGAGGAATTAACGGCGAAAGAAGAAGCAAATATATTTGCGGATAAAGCTGAAAGAGAAAACGTTTGGGTAAGTTTCACATGCATCAAACAGAAGTGTGAAGAGTTACGTATCAAACAAGGAAGAGAAAAATATACCTTTACCAAGGGGTTGATGTTCACCAGTCATAAGAATAGTTACAGGACAAGATCCTCCCATGGTTCCTCTACATGACTTGTCGGGGAGGTCTTTGTAGGGAAGAAAATCAGTTTTAACAGAACGGAGTTCTTGTTCTGGAATCTGTAACATGGGAGGCAACATGGGAGGGTTTGGGATGGGACAGACACCACCAGATAAATTAGCGTTACTTTTACAATCACTATTCATATCAGAGACACCCTTCATCAGCGCATCGAGCACATGTTGAATCGCTAGGAGAATCAAGCAGAGGAAGAGTGGAACTAGGATGAGCCTCACATTCGTCCATATATGTTTCCTCTGCGTTTTGATTTCCAAGAATTTAGTAAAAAACCCTTTTCTTTCAACTATATATATATATAACAGTTATTCATGCTATGGAAACTGACCTGGTAGGTTAAGTTCTTCCTAAGTAACGCATTTGCCTGCGTCCCAAAACTTGCTGGACTAGGATCAACCATCAATGAAGAAAGAAAGAACCTGGGGGAAATTGTCAAAACAGAAGATCACAACAGATAATCAAAATAAATAAAATAAAAAGTGTCCAAAAATAGATCAGACGTGAGGTCCCAATTTCTCAGATATTTCAACTTGGAGGACCTTAAAAATTGGAAACAAAAGATTGCATGTCCGTAAATCTTTCTGTTTTAAATTTTTTTTCCTGACATTATTATACGATATATACAATTAAAAAGACATAGAAAACGTTTTTAGTTTTCTTTTTGGAAAAAAATAAAGTAACAGAAAAAAAAAAGAAATCTTGATAATGATTTTGCAACAAGGATTACCGCTTCTCTATCAGCAGTTCACGGCGTTATTCAAGAAGAACCTGCTGCTCTCATGGAGGAACAAGAGATCTACGTGTCTTCAGCTCTTCTCATCATTCTTCTTCATCCTTGTCATATTTTGTATCGAGGAAGCTATGAAGGCGAGCGAGGCATCCTCAACTGCCTACAAGAACGTCACCGATCCCACGCTTCTGTTTTCGCCACCTATTCTTCCTTGTGAGGATAAGTTCTTCGTGAACCTTCCTTGCTACGACTTCGTATGGAGCGGTAACGATAGCCGCCGTGTGACTGGCATCGTCTCTGCAATCATGGCTAACAATCCAGGGAGACCAATTCCGACCAACAAGGTTAGGTTCTTATGTTTGGTTCCTTTTAGTTTAAAATTTCTTGAGACCCCACATCCAAAGTTTAGATGGACCAACACACTAATATGTAAAATGTTATTGCCAATCTACTTATAATAAGTCCTACTTTAAAGTGGTATCAAAATGGTCTGCTAGCCTGACTGAACCGACTGGATTAAAATCTATCTGGCCCATTGACAGAAGCCTGACTGGTCTTAAACTAACCTGACCCGAATGGTCCGGTGGTCTGACTGAACCCAATTGGGATATTGTCGAGTTTAATGGTTATACAAATATTAATAGTTTTACTAAAATATAAGTAACTAGATAGAGATCTGCGCAAAAGAACAGGGTGAAATTGTTTTAAAAAAAAATTAAATTTATTATATTTTTTGTTCATAATTTTCATTTGACATTATTATATATAAATTAGGCAATATGTTATCTTTTATTATGCATATAGTATGTTTATAAGTAATTGCATAGAGAAATATTTTATTATCAAACTGATGCATTATAAACAAATGAGACCACAAATTAGTTATTATATATGTTAATTAGATTCCATATAAAAAAAAGTAAAAATTAAATTCTTATTATATATGTTATAACGTATTTAGAGGAAATGTATGTGATAAGTAGCGATGGCAATTGATGTAAATTTTCTAGTAACTAAAGGTTTCTTGATTGAGATAGTTGAGAAGGGTTCGCCACATCAGCCAAAACGGCAACTTTGTAAATAAAATACCAAAACAAAATTAGTCTTGAAGATTGCTTCTCTTTTAATAATAAAAGGATAGTTAGGGTCATCACCAACTGATTTAACGATGAAAGCATGTTATAAGTTCAAATTTAACATTTTACAACAACACTAATATATAAAATATTATGACCAATCATGTTACTACCAATTGATTTTAAATTATAATCTAATGATAAATCTGAATTCATCAAACTTAATATTGGTTCTGAAATGTTTTTTTTTTTCAGGTTCAATCGTTCAAAAGGCCTGAGGAGGTAGATGCATGGTTTATGTCACATCCTTTGCAAGTCCCAGGAGCTTTGCATTTTGTGGAAAGGAATGCTACAGTAATCAGCTATGGAGTTCAGACAAATTCTTCATCGGAGAAAAAACGTGGTCAGATGGAAGATCCAACGTTTAAGTTCCTTGTTCCTCTTCAAATCGCTGCAGAGCGTGAGATCGCGAGGTCCTTAATTGGAGGTACCATCTTGAAGCTTAGAGACAAATTTTCATTCTGAAAGTTGAAAATATTCTAACGTAGTAGTAAATAATATGGACCAGTCCATTTATAGTCAGTCAGTTATTTTAATTTTGTATTTTCACAATTTCAGATCCAAAGTTTGGTTGGGGTTTTGGATTTAAAGAATTTGCACGCCCAGCTATTATAGGTGAAGCTATCTCAGCACTCAAAGTTATGGGACCAATCTTCTTTCTTGCCTTTTCCATGTTTGGTTTTGTTCTCCAGCTCGGTTCTCTTGTCACCGAGAAAGAGCTAAAACTTCGTCAGGCAATGACAATGATGGGAGTTTTTGATACAGCCTATTGGTTATCATGGCTCACATGGGAAGGACTACTTACGTTTGTATCATCACTCTTCTTAGTCCTCTTTGGAATGATGTTCCAATTCGATTTTTTCTTGAAGAACAGTTTCTTTGTTGTCTTTCTACTCTTCTTGCTTTTTCAGTTTAATATGGTAAATAAATATCCATCCTCACTCTTGATTATTACGTTCCTTCTTTCCATCTCGTAAGGAGATCATTTACTTGCATGTGTTGCTAGATTGGCCTAGCCTTCGTGCTATCATCTTTCATCAGCAAATCATCTTCAGCAACAACTGTTGGTTTCCTTGTGTTTCTCATTGGCTTTATTACACAGGTTTGATTCTCTTGGTTTAACATAGTTCCTCAAATCATGAAAACTGCTTCTTACTTGTTACTATTTTATAAATACTCAGATTGTATCAGCTACTGGATTCCCTTACTCCAACGCTTATCCTGCTTCTCGACGGGCGCTGTGGTCACTCTTCCCTCCCAACACTTTTTCTGCGGGCCTTAAGCTTCTTCTTGATGCAACTTCAACTCCAGCAAGTTCAGGAATTAGCTGGAGTGACAGAGCTGTATGCGAAGGAGGCATGCCAACTTGTGTAATTTCAATTGTATGTTAACATAAAACATGTTTCATTCATCAAATACTTTTTGAACTATTTTTTTCTCTCAAACCAATACATGAATCTTTTTGTAGGATATTATATACCAGTGGCAAGTCGGGACATTCCTTTTCTGGTTTTTCCTCGCCATCTACTTTGACAATATCATTCCCAATGCGTCAGGTGTGAGAAAACCCATCTTCTACTTTCTAACACCTGGTTATTGGACTGGCCAAGGAGGCAATAAAGTGGAAGGTATCGTCTACTCATAGTTCTCCCGAAGCAGTCTTTTAATGTGTTGGAAAAATCTAAACCTAAAACATGTTCATATATACACTTTTTCAGAAGGTAGTATTTTTAGCTGTATTGGTTCAGTTCCACCGGTAGAGCATGTAGCCCCAGAGGACCAGGATGTGCTTGAAGAGGAGACGGTAGTTAAACAACAAGCAATGGATGGAATAGTTGATCCTAACATTGCTGTTCAGATTCATGGTCTTGCAAAGACATATCCTGGAACGACGAAGCTTGGTTGTTGCAAATGCACCAAAACATCTCCTTTTCATGCTGTAAAGGTAATCTTTCTTGTCGAGGAAGTTAGTGTGTGTTATATGTCAAGGCTGTTCGAAAAACCCTAATATGCTCATGATCTCTTATGGTTACTAACATTAAAATTGTAATACTACAACAACAGCTCTATTTATATTTGGGGTTATTTGTGAGATAACCATAAAAAAATCAAAATTAGATTTTTAGAGAGTGTGTAGAGAGAGATAGGAAGAGAGAAGAGTTGATTAGTTGGTGAATTTAGAGCTTTTTTTTTAAGGTTAGTAGGTGCAATTTCCATTTATATTTTGACTAATTAGCTCATGGAATATATTTAGGGTTTGTGGATGAATATTGCCAAAGACCAGTTGTTTTGTCTACTTGGACCCAATGGCGCAGGAAAAACAACTTCAATCAGCTGTTTGACTGGAATAAATCCAGTAACTGGTGGGGATGGTAAGGATTTGCATGACAAGAAGCTCGTTTCCAAAAAAAGAAATTTCATACTTTAATACTGATTAAAAATCTCAATTTGATCGACTTAAAACAGCTCTTATCTATGGAGATTCCGTGAGAAGCTCTGTTGGTATGTCCAACATTCGTAAAATGATAGGAGTGTGTCCTCAGGTAAATTAGTTTCATTTTTGCTTAATAGACATAAGTATAATTGTTCAGCGTAAATGTTTCATGTAATTTTCCTTACAGTTTGATATTCTTTGGGATGCTTTATCAAGTGAAGAACACTTACACCTCTTTGCTAGCATCAAAGGGTTGCCGCCTGCATCTATCGACTCGGTACTATGTCACCTGAATATCATCTCAAAATGTTGCTGTGATGTCTAATGATTAATTTAAAATTTATGCAAACTTCTTTCATATCTTTAATTACTTTTATTTTCTCTTGTTACAGACCGCTGAGAAGTTACTGGCGGATGTAAAACTGACAGGTGCGGCGAAAGTTAGAGCAGGAAGTTACAGTGGTGGAATGAAACGCCGACTCAGTGTAGCAGTTGCACTCATTGGTGATCCCAAGCTGGTCTTCCTAGATGAACCGGCATGTCACATGCATGCTAACTCCTCTTTTAATATGTGTTTATTTTAATTATGTATATATGTTACATGCTAATCAACTTAAGATTGTAGACAACTGGCATGGACCCTATCACGAGGAGACATGTGTGGGACATTATACAGGAGTCAAAGAAAGGCCGTGCCATCATACTAACAACGCATTCAATGGAGGAAGCTGATATTTTAAGTGACCGAATAGGGATCATGGCTAAGGGCAGGCTCCGTTGCGTTGGGACATCAATCAGGTTAAAGTCTCGTTTTGGCACTGGTTTTGTTGCTACCGTTAGCTTCACTGAAAGCAAAACCGGAGCTGGAGCTTCACACGAGCCAGTGAAGAGATTCTTTAAAGAGGTACGTATACACACTCAAAAGTTTTTTTTTTTTTTTTTTTTTAATCTGAGGCCACTTTAACCTAAAGAAGATGTATTATTTGCAGCATTTGGAAGTTGAGCCAGCAGATGAAAACAAGGCTTTCATGACTTTTGTTATCCCCCACGACAAAGAGAAACTTCTTACAGTAAGAATAAAAAAAACTAATATATAATCTCTTTATGTCTTCATCTACTATGATATTCATCAACGTTTTCTCCACAAATAGGGTTTTTTTGAGGAGCTAGAAAACAGGGAATCTGAGTTTGGAATCTCGGACATACAGCTTGGACTTGCAACTCTTGAAGAAGTGTTTNTATCCCCCACGACAAAGAGAAACTTCTTACAGTAAGAATAAAAAAAACTAATATATAATCTCTTTATGTCTTCATCTACTATGATATTCATCAACGTTTTCTCCACAAATAGGGTTTTTTTGAGGAGCTAGAAAACAGGGAATCTGAGTTTGGAATCTCGGACATACAGCTTGGACTTGCAACTCTTGAAGAAGTGTTTCTGAACATCGCTAGACGAGCTGAACTGGAAAGTGCAACTGTTGAAGGAAATATGGTCACTCTCGAGTTAGAATCTGGCATCTCACTAGAGGTAAATCCAACTACACATGTATATACATTTATTAGTTTAATATGCAACATAGTTGAGGAATTCTAACAAGTTATATGGTCCAGATACCCGTGGGAGCCAGATTTGTTGGGATCCCTGACACGGAAAACGCAGAGAATCCAAGTGGGGTAATGGTTGAAGTCTATTGGCAACAAGACGGGTCGGGATCGATGTGCATCACGGGGCATTCATCGGAGTTGCGGGTCCCACAGAATGTTCTGGTGACACGTCCACCATCTCCAAATGCATTAGGACATAAAGGGCTACGCCAAGCGATTCGGGGTATTGTGATAGATTTATGAATCTAACAAATTAATGGAATGTTCACCAAAGATTTTATCAGTAGTACTTTACATCGAGTTTTGTGTTTGTTCAAAGTGTTAAAAGTAAGCGTACTGTATATATGTTTCAGACAAGTTTGTGATTTGGTTTTTGTCTTTCTTCCCATCATATGTATAAACATATATTAAATCGAATAATATAACAAAATAAGTACCTTAAACCATCCGCAATGGTTGTTTTTCACCGGTTCTTAGCACATAGTCCTAGATTAATCTGGATAAAATATTATTAACAAAGCTAAGTTTACTAAGGAGGAGTCTTTAATTAAAGAGTCCTTAAAACATCCCCATCACTAAACT